AAATTTGAAGTATCAAGGCATACAAATTTCCAAGGTATGTTTGAGGGCATTCAACAATGTTATTCTTCAGTAGTGCATTCACGCAAAGCTCTAAGCAAAAGTAAAATTCCCTTGAGGAGAGATGCAGTATGAATCTAAAAAGAATTGTTACAGGGAAACTTCTATGCCAGCTCATTAGCTGGTAAAGCCTTCACAATCTCTTGATTGTTTTATACCCTCGTGTGTAATTGTGGAAAGTGAGGTGAAGAAGTGGCTACCAATAAGCAGTTACTCCCTCCGTCCCGCTAAGATTATCCCACTTTACCTTTTCGGGAAGTCCCACTAAGATGGTCTCATATCATATTTGGTAAAGATTGTGTGGCTCTAAATCATTCTAACTTTATTCTTACTTTATCAATTTAATATCAACCGCACAAACCTACTTTTCTTAATAATCGTGCTACCTTCTCTCGTCCCAATCTTAGTGGGACTGAGGTATTATAAGAATAAATAGCAGATTGCCAACACATTTTTCCCAGCTCCAATGTTGCAAGAGTGTTTGTCAGGAAGTTAAAAACTCAAACTTTTACTTTGCCATTTATCTTGTTTAACGGAACTGGAAACTTCCAGGCTCGACATGAAAATTCTTAGTCTGCTTTATCTTTACAGGGCTCCAATAACCATTTTGCTCTCCAAATGATTGAAGGAGATAAAAGGCGTTCTGTTTTCCATCCTGATGACTGAAGCTGCCATAGTAAAACACAAGAGGTGTGGAGTGTGAGTTGAAAGAGCAAGTGTATGTAGTTATTTTGGGGTTTATAACTTATTTTAAGCTCCAAATAAACTACCCCAGCCCTGTTTTGTAATAATGATGTAAATTAACCTTCAATGATATTACTAATAATGATGTAAATTAACCTTCAATTTTATCTAAAAATGAAGTGAAAATAAACTTACTCCATTGAGTGACGTACGTAGTGAGAGAGTTCTGGTCGCTAATGATAAAATCAGTAAATTATTCACCATGGTAGTAAATTGCAAACTAAGGGAGTGTTTGTGATTTCTTCTACTTTAAAAAAATGTTTTTTAAAGTGATTTTGGAAGAAGTTCTTAATAGTAAAAGTTGGTAGTGTTTGAGAAAAAAGTGATTCTGAAAAAGTAAAAGTTGGTAGTGTTTGATAAAATAAGTGTTTTTGTGTGATAAAAAAAGTGAAAAACAGTTTAAAGTACCCCTCAACATTCTTCCAACTTTTAGCTTTTAAGTGATTAATTTAACCAGAAGCCATCACTTAAAAACACCAATTTCATCTTTTTAAAGTCAAAAGCTGAAAAAAGTGTTTTTTAAAATTTGTTGCAAACACTAGGGTTGGGCAAAAATACCGAACATGCATGGTACCGAACCGAACCGGTATGGTACCGGACCGAAAAACGGGGTTTGAAACGGATCTCAATTTTTTGTCCCGAACCGGAGTACCGGACCGTACCGGTTCTAAACTATGTCATGACCGTTTAACGTTGTCATAAAATGAGAACCGGTGCCGGACCGAACCGGACCGATGTACGGTTTAATTATTAAATGTACATTTATACCATTACTTTGACTTAATGCCTTCACACTTTCCTCGCCTTTGCTAGTTCATATAAAGCCCGGAAGCAGACTGATGTATAGTTTAATTATTTAAATTTGTACTACTATAATTTATCTAAATTTTATTAATTATGTAATACTACCTCCGTCCCGAATTGATTTGTAAAATTAACTTTTCTTGGGCAAACAGTTTAATTTTATTCACTTAATTAGGATGTCAACTTTTAATTATATTTAATTTGGAATTTGCAACTTTGAAAAGATTTTAATGTAGTTTCTGAATATGTACATTTTAATTGTTAAAAATTGAATTAATCATCAATAAAGAGAATTTAACTTGAACATTGGTTGACCAAAAAATATTGACTTTGCATATCAATTTGGGACGTAGGGAGCATGAGAATTGATAAATTGTGTGAATTTTTGGAGGATAGCTAAACTTTAATTTTTTTTAAACATTTGAAAAAAGTGGTATTGTTTGGTATTGATATGACATGGTACCGTCCCATTTGAAAATGAAATCGTACCGAACGGGTTTAGGTCTAAGACCGAACCGAACCGTTTGAATAGTCACGGTACGGGTTCGGCCAAATATTGGACCGGATCGGACCGCGCCCACCCCTACCAAACACCCCCTAACTAGGTAGTAGGTATCACAAATTTAACAGATACTCCGTAGTACATACTAGGGCTCTACGAGTGACTAGTAATATGTTTTCTCATCCTCTTTTCAATATAAAGAATGAAATATGTCGACTATTACTCCCTCCGTCCCGCAAAGATGTTCCCGATTTCTTTTTTTAGCAATCCCAAAAAGAAGTTCCCCTTTCCCTAAATGAAAAATTATCCTACATCAAAACAGTGCCAAATAGTCCCAAACAATGTCGAAACAGTGTCAAAACAGTAAAATTTACCCCATGGTAAGTTTATTTCCTTAACATGTGGGTAGATCAAATCGGGAACATCTTTGCGGGACGGAGGGAGTACTAATCACTACGGAGTACTTTTATGTAATGATGATTGAGCCAAAATCTATTTGCATATTTCTATGAAATACAAAAATGGTTAAAAGGTCAAAGAGGCCCATGTACCAATCACTCCCCGAACTGACAAAAAAGAGTTCAAAATTCATTTTTTAAGGTTAAATAACCGGTAAAAAAGGTACAATTCGCACCCCCAAACTATTAAAAAGTGTCAAAATTACAATAAATCGAAATAAAAAAACAAAAACAATTAAAAATTTAAAAAATGACCGGTTATTTACCTGTAAAAAAATGAAATTTGAACCATTTTTTGTTGGATCGGGGTGTGAATTGAACCTTTTTTAGATTAAGGACTGAATTGAGCTTACACGATTAGGGCACAACACGGGTCGGGTTCGGGCGGGACGGGTTCAAAAAAGGTAAACCCTTTCGGGTATCGGATTGATAATTTCAAACCCTACCCTATCAAAAATTTATCAGGTTTTTCGGGTTGAAGTAGTTCGGGTTTCGGTCGGGTTGGTTCGGTTTTCGGGTCCATTCGTATTTTAATTTATTATTGTTGAAATTCTTTTAAATAAAATGGTAATTGGTAAAAATATCATTCAAAGTTATACTAGTATAACATTCAAAGTAATAGTTGTATCAATAAGGTAATCGACATATTTGAACATGTAAAATAATAATATACGGTGATTATCATATTTGATATTGTGATAAATAAAATGATAATTGGTCAAAATATCATTCAAAATCATAACAATACAACATTCAAAGTTATAGTTTTACAAATACGGCAATTGGAATATTTGAATATGCATAATATGGTAATTGCCATACAATAATTGAGATATTTGAACATGCATAATAATTCAAAGTAGGGGTGGGATCGGGATGATCCCGATCCCGATTGCCCAAATCCCGATCCCGTCCCGATCCCGATTCAAACTAAAAGAGGATCCCGTATCCCGTCCCGATTAAGTCGGGATCCCGACATTAAAATCCCGATTAAGTCGGGATCCCGATCGGGAATCCCGCTTAATCCCGCTAAATCCCGACAATGAAGTATCAAACATAAAATTATGTAATTTCTTTAGTTAAACACTAACTTTGATATTTAGTGGTTTCAATATTATTCTTTGTTTACTGTTATACCATATTTATCATCATCTACTTATAAAAATTAGTGTAATAATTATCATCTCAAACACACACTAGTATATACTTTTAGAATAATTTTTATGTGTAACTTCAATTAATTAATAGTATAATTTTTGAATAAGCTATCAAGGCTTAGTGAAACTTACTTCAAACAATATATAAAAAACACTAAAAGAAGGATATGTAACGTATATTATTTAAAATTCAAAACTAAGTAGACTCATTGAGAAACTTTGTGACCAATGAATATAATGTGTAAATACATATTATGATTATCTACTAAAGAAAGAAATCTTAGTCTCGATCATAATTTTTTAAAGAGTTCATCATAACCGCAAAATTTGTAATATTGTATGTTGTGATTTAGATTGTTGGGATCAAGAATAATCTCTACTTAGTTAGGATCCCGAATATTCATTTTCGGACAAATGCCGAATAGTTTTAGAAGTTTGATATTGTAAGATACTCGTAGTAAAAGATTAATTTATGTAAGGAATAAGTAATTAAAAAAGATGTGTAAATATTTAGATACATATTCATTTTTTATATATTCATATATAATTATATACATGTGTGTGTGTGTGTATATAATGTCGGGATGTCGGGATTTTCCCGATCCCGACTTTTTTTTAAAAAAAATCCCGGTCCCGTCCCGACTTAGTCGGGATCGGGAAAAATTCCCGACTAGTCGGGATCGGGATTGTCGGGATCGGGATTTTCGGGATCGGGATTGTCGGGATCGGGATCGGGAGTCGGGAGTCGGGAGTTTTTTCCCAGCCCTAATTCAAAGTAGTATATATACTACCCTAGTTCGGGTTTTCGGGCGGGTCAGGTAGCATAATTGGTAACCCTACCCGCTACCCGCTTAACTCTCGGGTTGCAAAAATCGGATCGGGTTTGGGTCACTCGGGTCGGGTTATCCGACCCAAAAAATAAAATCAGATATATCTGATCGGGTCAATTGGGTAGAGTCGGGTTTGCTCTCCCCTATACACGATCAGTACACTTATTCGACACTTTAGCCTACAAAAAATGTTCACTCAAAAGTCAAAACTGTCATTTTTATCGTTGTTGGTCTAAATCCTCAATATAGTATTAGATCCAAATTCATGATTTGATTGAATTGTGATTTGATTGCTTTTGCACACCTACCATTTATGATAACCTGTTTAGAGTTTCTCTACCATACATGGCTCTAAGCCTCTAGTGTCATATTATGAATATAGAATTCCACTCTAAAAGATCGACATAAAAGAATTAGTAGATTAGTACCACATATGTATATTTACGCATTATTTGGTATGAAAGAAAAATGAAAAATTAATTGAAAAAGTGCGCATAAAGATATTATGAATATTTTAAAATTGACTGAATTCAATCTAAAGAATAAGATTAGACGAGACTTGTACTTACAAAATTAGATTTCAATAATAGTAAAATAACATATACGTAGTAATATACATTTAGCGGATCAGACCACTTCAGATCAAACCAAACTTAAACAGACCAGACCGGATCAGACTTAAATAGTCTGATATCACTCAAGAAGGGGTGCACAATCAATTCCCCCTGTAAATTTTTAACAAAAGCAACTTCCAAACTAAAGAAGCTGGTAGCGAAGTGTGAAGAAGGGTCGAGTACTCAGCTTTGGCGTTCTTGACCGGAAAGCCTTCTTTCCGTGAAGGCCAACTCTGAGACCAAAGCAATATGATCACTTCCCCATTTCTGAAATGACATGGCAAATCAAGAAATTACTATGGTATCAGTTTCACTAGAGAAGCAGTTGCAACTTGCAAGTAACTTTCACATCTCAATCACAGAAGCAATAGAGTTGAGAATAGTGTTTGTTTTTAATGATATAGATACAGTTTTTAATGCATTTTTAGGTGTAACGGGGATTAGGCAGTTCCATTTGGCTTACCATTACTCCCTCGGTTAGCCAAATAGAAACCTTTTTTTTTTATCTATTTATGCAATCACGCAAAAGGTGAAAGTGACACATACACAGTATTGAATATAGGGAAAAGGTTCAAATAGACCCTTCTACTAAAAAACATCATATAAGTACGTTTACTTTTCAAACACAATCATTCAAGTCATTTTGAACTGCTATAGCAGGTTATTTTTAAAAAATAAATATTAGGACTATTGCTAAATTTTATAAAAGTTCATATAAATTTGAAAAATAATACTATGGGGTATAATAATAATAATATAAAAATTGCATAAATGTAAATTTAGGTAAATCATTTAAGAACGTTAAAATAAAAATTCAGAAAAACTGATGAAATAAAGTGAAAATGTAAAAAATTAAAATATTAAATGTAAAAACCTATTAAACAAATGAAACGTTAAAATAAAAATAAAAATCATAAAACTGATGAAATAAAGTGAAAGTGTAAAAAAATAAAATATTAAATGTAAAACCCTCTTAAATAGATGTGGAGTGCAAATAATTTCAAAAATTAAAAAATATCGACTTTGACGCCCTAAAATTTCTCACAATTTTTACCTATATTTCTTCAAATTTTAACAATGTTTAAGAATTTTTTGACATAAAAAACTTGCTATTACAGGTCAAAAACTATAGAAATGGCCAAATTGGTCAAGTTTTCAAAGTAGGCGTACTTATATGATACATAGTACTTTTTTTAGTATAAGAACTTAAGTGATGTTTTGGAAATAGTACAATGGCTTATTTGACCTTTTTCCTTGAATATAGAATGTGAGGGTCTTGATTGTGATGGCCTGAAAATATTTGTACAAGAGCGAATGATCCACCTACTAGACAAGTTGTGAGGTGGGGAGAAGAGATAAAGAGGAGAAGGAGAGGAAGACACAATTGATGTGAACTAAAGTGAACCCTTAATTGGATTGGATGAGAATATAACTTTGAAAAGGGCAAATTGGAGAGATAATATACTTGGAAGATTGATTTCATTTTACTTTTTTAGCTCCGCTATCACATGTCTAATCGACCCCAAACTCTTTTGGGACTCACGCTTTGATGTTGTTGTTGAATGCAAGATGAAAGTCACAAACATGTAGCACATGGTAAATTTAATGAGCCAATATACAATTTTAAAAATACAAATATGATTAATATAAAAAAGGTAGAATTACTTATTTATAATTTTACAGAAATTACACATTACCAAAACTAAAAGTTGTATTGTGCAGCTTGTGCTCAAACACAACGCTTATGGGACGGAACTAGTACAATTATTACTCCTCCATCTAAGTACATTACCGTGTATGGTTCATTTGCCTTGATTTCACCTTGACAAACCCAAAAAATTACCTCAGTTCCACCTTAAATCCTTAATCCTTATATAATACTCGGTAGTATACACTACTATGGATTTACAGGCGGCCCTATATATTTGAAGGTCAAGATGGGAAAAATGGGCCTACTTTAAAAAAAATGTAAAACCCTTTTCTATCTAAATTAACATGCAAAATAATAATATTTGAAGATCTTTATAAAAAACCCTTTACCAAACTTCAAACATGACAGTATTTTCCAAATTTGGCAGTAATTACTTCTATTTTGGGAATAAAAAATATGACAGTCCTATTTTGAAATTTTTAAACTGTTTTAGTCCTATTTTGGGAACTTTCCCTTAAGAAAATACTTGAATTTGTTAAATTAAACATCGTCGAATCACGTTTTCAAATAACCAAATAAAAAATTACTTAAATACATTCCTTGCTGAACATTGTGAACCAAAGCCATTAACTATAGCTTCATAATCAAGCTTCTCCAACATATTATGCTCAATGTTTAATACAGCTAATTCATTAAGCTTTTTAGAGACATTGTTGATCGCAGATGATTTTTGAGAATCTTCAACTTTGAAAAACTTCTTTCCGCAGTGGTCACATTTATTGATACTGTCAATAATGTCTTACATGTATTTGTTGCGTTCGGATAGCAGCCCATAATCTTCACAAACTCAAGAATTTGAATGGAAGTGTCTTTGTCATTCGGTTAAACATTTGTAACATTTTCAATTCATGAAAGAGATCATCCCTGTCAACATTTTCTTTCTCACCATCTTGTAAAGCATCTGCAAATATCTCACAACATTTTTTCAATTTATCATGAAACAACGATTTCAAGTTCCTTGAATTGAACTAAACAGAAAGTCAAGTATACGCTGAAAGTCTTTCATATGATCAAATCTAATTTGCAATGACTTCAAAGCGGCATTCATCACAACATTGAAAGAATAACACTTAAAAGAATCTTCTGGAGACTTATCTTCATCATCTTCTTCATCAAAGTACTTTTTTCTACGGGTCAATCGTTTTTTAGAAAAACCAGGTTCGAATCCCATTTCAAGAGCAATGTCTTTTGTGGTGATAATTCAAGACCATCTTCAAACTCTTCTTCTCTATACTTATTTAAATGAATAATCAAATCATTCATATTCATCACACAAGTATCAATATATCTTCACTTTGTAACAATTTACTAGCCTGTTTAAATAATCAAATCATTAATATTCATAACACAATTATCAATAAACATATCTTCACTTTGTAATAATTTACTGAACTATTGGTTGCAAAGCTTCATACCATATTGTCATGCCCAATAAGAACTCAAATTTCTCCAACTGTTTGAGCACTCTTTTAACATCACTTTTTGACGAATAATCAGGACAATCTTTTCTCAATTTAATTTAATTAAAGCTTCTATTACTTGGGGAGTTTGGGTTACAATTGCTTTCACACTTTCTAGACGGCATTCCCAACGTTTGGTGGACAATGATTTCAAATTAAAACCATGTACACATTCTTTCAAAATTGTTCATCTTTTTGTCGAAGCAGAACAATGTATACAACTTTTGAACATATCCAAAAAATGTAATAGCTTTATAATAAGAATTTATCATATCTGAAATGGTTAAATTAAAACTATAACAAACACACGGCATGTAAAAAGCTTTTCGATTAATGTCAAGTAATCTTATTTGTACACCTTGATGCTTACCTTTCATGTTGGAGCCATTATCATACTCTTGTCCATGTATGTCATCAATGTCAAGCTCGCATAAAGCCAAAATACTCTCTAATTCAACAAAGAGCCCTAACCCAGATGTGTCAAGCACTTCGATAAATTCTAAGAAAAATTCAAAAGCTTGAGATTTTTTTGATGACATATACACACACATTTGCTCTTTATGACATATGAAATCGGGCATGCAATCAAGAATGATTGAAAAATACTTAGCAGTCTTGATATGTGCAACAATTGCACTTTTAACACCGGGAGCTAACTTCAAAATCAATTCATTCTTAATTTTGTGACTAAAATAATGAATCTGTTTAGATTAAATACGTCTCACATGCTCTTGCATAACCAGATAAAACTCAGCAACCATCTCGATGATATCTAAATAAATTCCATTGTTATATGTGTTTTTCATATTTTCCACGAAAGGCAAATAAATTTTTGCAAGAGTTTTAACTAAATATTGGAAGTCAATCTCATCTCCATATCAATTCAATTTTGCATATTACCAAAACGTTGGAAGCTTTTTTCATGACTAAAAAGCTTCTCACTCAAATGTTTTCCATTGTTGAATTTTTCATTCGCTAAAAGATTCGGCTACACTTTTGTTTTGAACAACTTGCTACAAAAACAACACTTTATTCACCTTTTTTAGTACACCAATCATGGTCTATCTTCACTTTCCTTATGTTTCATCTTTCTAGTGTAGTAGGCATTTAAGAAATGTCTAGACTTAGCATCAAGAGAATAATTGAGCTCTTATAGGGCTTTTTTCAATTACAATATCTCTTGTTTTGAACATCTAGAGCCCGTTTGGTAGCACGAAAATCGGCTGTTTTGGCTGATTCTGTTGAAATTTATGAAGTTCTGGCTGAAGTGGCTGCATTGGCTGATTCTGCTGATTTAAGAAAAAAATATTTTATAAATATATTTTATTAATAAAATAAAGAAAAATTATATGTAAAAATAGCTAAAATAGTCATCAACAGTAACTTCAGCCAATACAGTCAGAAAAGTAACTCCAACATCACTTTTTCTGCTTATTACACAATTCAGCGCGCGAAAGCAAAAATTGCGTGTTTGGTGAAAAAACTGGCTGATAAGCCTGATAAGCCAAAAAACTGGGTTGCCAAACGGGCTCCTAGATTCTCCCAATCAGTAGGATCTAAAATATTTAAATTCAAAGGACATGTAATTGAAGTTGATATATTTGACGAACTCCTAAACGTTCAATTGCATGTCCTTAGAATTTAAATATTTATGATCCGATTTATTGGCAGAATCTGGATGTTTAAAACAAGAGATATTTAATTGAAAAGGCCCTATAAGAGAAACACAACTCAATTATTCTCTTGATGCTAAGTCTAGACATTTCTCAAATGTCTACTACATTAGAAAGATGGAGAATAAGGAAAGTAAAGATAGACCGTGGTGGGTGTACTAAAAAAAGTGAATAACGTGTTTAGTTTTTGTTGCAAGTTGTTCAAAACAAAAGAGGAGTCTAATCTTGTAGCGAATAAAGAACTCAATAATTGGAAACATTTGAGTGAGAAACTTTCTAGTCATGAAAAAAAATCAACATTTTGGTAATGTGCAAAATGTATTGATATGAAGATGAGGATGACAAAGGAAACAAATATTGATTTCGCCACTCGGAAGAGACTTGCCAAAGAGAAGAAGCATTGGAGAGATGTTCTTAAGAGAATAATTGCTTTAGTTAAATTCTTGCAAAAAAATCCCACTGCATTTCGTGGAAAATCTGAAAAAAATATGAAGACAACAACGTAAAATTTTTAGCTATCATTGAGATGTTTGTTGACTTTAATCCAGTTATGCAAGAGCATGTGAGACGTATTCAATCTAAAAAGATTCATCATCATTATCTTAGTCACAAAATTCAGAATGAATTGATTTTGAAGTTAGCTTCCGGTGTTAAAAGTGCAATTATTGCACAGATCAAAGCTGCTAAGTATTTTTTAATCATTCTTGGTTGCACACCTAATTTTAGTCACAAAGTGCAAATGACTTTAGGTGTGTGGATATGTCATCAACAAACCTCAAGTTATTGAATTTTTCTTAAAATTTATCCAAGTGCTTGATACATATGAGTTACCTTTGCTGAATTAGAGGGTATTTTGGCTTTATGCGAACTTGACATTGATGACGTACGTGGACAAGGGCATGATAATGACTCCAACATGAAGGTAAGCATCAAGGTGTACAAATAAAATTACTTGACATTAATTGAAAACCTTTTTATACGCCGCGTGTTTGTCATAGTCTTAATTCAACCATTTCAGATATGATAAATTCTTGTTATAAAGCTATTACATTTTTTGGATATGTTCAACAATTGTATACATTGTTTTTGGTTCAATAAAAAGATGGACAATTTTGAAAGAATGTGTACATGGTCTACTTTGAAATCATTGTCCACCACACGTTGGGAATGCCATCTAGAAAGTGTGAAAGTAATTGTAACTCAAACTCCCCAAATAAGAGAAGTTTTGATTAAATTGAGAAAAGATTATCCCGATTATTCTGATTATTCATCAAGAATGATGTTAAAAGTGTGCTCAAACGGGAGAAATTTGAGTTCTTATTGGGCATGACAATATGGTATGAAGTTTTGCACCTGATTGATCAGGTCAGTAAATTATTACAAAGTGAAGATATGCCCATTGATACTTGTGTTACGAATATTATTGATACATTTAACCAGGTCAGTAAATTGTTACATATGTGCATCGATACTTGTGTGATGAATATGAATGATTTGATTATTCATGTAAAAAAGTACAGAGAATAAGGGTTTGGATGCTCTGAACAGCACAAAAGGCATTGCTCTTGAAATGGGATTGAAACGTGGTTTTCTAAAACGATACGTGTAGAAAAGGTACTTTGATGAAGACAATGAAAAATATGATGAAGATACGTCTCCAGAAGATTTTTTAAGTGTTTTTATTTCAATTTTGTGATGGATGCCATTTTGATGTCTTTTCAAACTAGTTTCTATCATACGAAATGCTTTCAGTGTATATTTATCTTTCTATTTAGTTCAAGGAACTTGAAATCGTTGGTTCATGATAAATTGAATGAATGATGTGAGATACTTACAGGTGTTTTACAAGATGATGACAAAGAAGATGTTGATATGGATGATCTCTTTCAAGAATTGAAAATGTTGCAAAATGATTTACCGGATGATAAAAACACTGTCATTCAAATTCTTGATTTTGTGAAGATTATGGGCTGCTATCCAAACACAGCAATTGCTTACAGGATACTATTGTCACTATTGTCACTATTGTCAGTGTCAGTAATTGTGGCCATTGCGGAAAAAAGTTTTTCAAAGTTGAAGATTCTAAAAAATTATTTGTGATCAACAATGTCTCAAAAAAAGCATAATGGATTGGCTATATTAAACATTGAGCATAATGTGTTAGAGAAGCTTGATTATGAAGTTGTAGTTGATGACTTTGCTTCATAATGTTCAACACGACATGTATTTAAGTAATTTTTTATTTGGTTATTCTGAAAACGTGGTTCGACTGTGTTTAGTTTAACGAATTCAAGTATTTTCTTAATTATAAAGATCTTCAAATATTATTATTTTGCATTTTTGTTTAGAGAGAATCAGGGTTTACGGATTTTTTTAAAAGTAGAACCATTTTAAAATTTTCGCTCCTAGGCCTTGAAATAGGCCGCCCCCGCCGCCCATATCTTAGTTCACGCTTCTGAGATAGAGCTCCTATGTATATGACTCTTGCGACAAGTACGAAACTCAAAGTTAAAGATGATGAAATTTTGGATTTGATCCCTTCGCAAATTAGGGCTGTGGCAATAGGTTGCCTAATCTGGGCTGGTATGTACGGAGTATTATTTTTGGGAAGTGTGTAATGGGTTTACTTGATCAATTTAACAGTACAAGGATTAAAATCAACACTTTGAAATAATACTCCCGACTATTTAGGTAAAACAAATTTATGACAATAACTGAACCACTTTCATACTTTATAGACTCATACAACCTCCATCTCGGCTTAAGGTTCCTATTAAAAAATGACACGTTTTTTAGACAATAATTAAATGATGCAATTTGAGAAGTAGTTTGGGAGATAAATAGTAATAACAGAATGATTGATAATAACTGTAATATTATGGAAATCCTCCCGCTGCTATAGTGCTATTGTAGGGGCTTAACCATTTTTTATGGGAAGCATTGGGCGCCCCTTCTTCTCCAACACTAGATGCGCTTGATCTAGCCTCCCTTAGAACTAGATCCCTAACTTTTAGATAATGAGAGGGGCTCGCTTGACATAGTGTCGAGCATTGTTCGTTGTGCTAGTTACGCTAATACCTCTAAGAAATATGTTTATCCACCGTTAGTCATTAATGTTGGTTGGCTTGGATTACTACCTCTTACAATATCATAATCACATAATCACAGAATCAAGCATATGGCTCCACAAATTCCTTTTCGACTAGGATCGAGGGTTCATATGCCGTATGGCATATGAAGTTATGAACTACAGGGTTTATTGGCTGGAACTGTCAGCATTGGTACTGGAAAAAATAAAAAACCTTCGTAAGTGTTTTTTTAATATGTAATGATTAAGTTGTCACTTAAGAGCGTTAATTAATTCCTTAAATAGAACTGTGAGCTTTTAAATGGAACACCCAAAAGAGGCAAGAGAGAACTTTTACCTAGGATGGAGGGAGGAATTGCTTCCCATGCCCAGAATAACATTCATAAAGTCCAGATGTACAGAAAGCATTCAGTGAAGGTTACGAATCATACCTTTGTGGGGAAACCCCGATAAAACTGCATGGCTTGTGTTGGAATTGGAGCAAGCACCCTCACAGTTTGAAGACCTTCAGAACGCCTACATATCAAGCATAATTTGTAAAAATTATTAACTTAATCAATGATATCAATAAATACAACACAGGATTAATTTCAGAAAAAGGTTCGCCCTATGTCTCATAAAAAATGTGCTCCTGCACAGGGACGTCCAGCAAAGAATGTCTAGTTCAACAAATGCAACCATATTTGTTGTTTTAATACAAAACTATAAAATATTTACACCTCTATTACTTTCATTTGAGATGGATAAAACTGGAATTGCATCACTTAGTCATGACTCGATGCATTAAACGTGTTAGTCAGATGGCCCATATTTTCTGAGACATGGGAAGTTTAATCCAAGGTTTAGTTGGAGGATTTTGAAGGGATGGGGATGAAAGTAGAGTGATAAGTGTTTGAATGGGAATTAAGGGAAAGGGGAACGAAGTGGATGAGCTAAATAATTCTACAACTCCCTCATATCACACTCCACTATGAGGGATTTTGCAGAAATTATTTTTTCTTGATTTTTTCGCCTTTTTTTATTTTAAATTCAAATTGTTCTACATTAGCATTTTGTATGTATTGTATAATACATATTTTCAAATATAACAAAATATGTATCGTATAGATTATTTAAATAGTTTTCCAAAATACTAAATTCCTACTCAGCCCTCACTCCATTGAGCCAAATATAAATAAAACTTACATTTTCCACCCCGACCCTCTTTTGAACCAAACACGAGCTTAAGGTTTACAAGGACATGTATGTGTGGGTGAATGGCAAGAGAAGGAGAGGGTGGGATATAAAGTTTAACAACTATTTTTAAACTGGATATAGTTGACACACATTACTTGTGTTGCAATACAATTAGATCACCAAAAATTATGCACATCAACTAGCTAACAGCCAGATCAGTAATGAGGTAAACCCTAAAGACTTACCATATGTAATCAACTGTGCCCAGGAATGCATTGTGGTAACTGGTCGCCTCTGGTTCTCCAATTGAATCTCTTTTTCCCACAACATTCTGGAATATGAAAGGAATTTTGGAATAGATCAATACTCAACAATCTTGCTGGGTAACCTCGCAAGGTTAGACACACACAAAATACCACCTCTGTTCCATAATTTCTTCCAGTTGTCCCAAAAATTTCTAAATAAACCTCAATTACACATTTTATTTACTAAATGAATGTGCAAAGTCAAAGCAAGAACCAAAATATGGGACAAAAGGAATGTATCTGAAGCTACAATTCTAATCAAGGGCTACCTCTACTTCCCGATACACACTTGTTAGCCTCAGATGGTGTTCCATTACTGTGCAGTCCATGCTTCCCGTTGCAGTTTGTATCTCTATTGGAGTCCAAGCTGTTGGATCATAATAAGTGCCCCGAAAATCTGCACCACGGACACCAGGTAACTCTTTGCTGTGAGAAACAGAAGATAGCCCAGACCGTTCATCTGGTTCTCCGCGCTCAGATACTGAAAGTGGAGTCCGATCAGATGCACCACATAGCTCAGATAAAAACGTCGCAGAGTCTTCACCTGAAGACTGATCTTCTACCCCTTCAAATACCATTTCCAGTGATAAATTATCCATTTTCTTATCTAAAGGGGCATCAGCCAATTTAAAGTTACCTTCTTCTAGAGTTGATGGTATTGAACCTTCACTATCGTAGATATGAGGGCTATCTGCATTGAGACGAATAGTGGATGTTCTTTGGGAATCTGTGAAATATTCTACTGTTCTTTCCATAGCTTTATCTTCAAAGTGAGCACCCACAAAAGTTTTGCTGGAGCCATTCACTACAGAATTTTGAGTTTGGGACCCGCAGCCTCTTGAAAGACCATCTCCTGATGCAACTATTGGGGACAATGTGCTTAAAACTAGATTGGAACATGCCTCTCTTTCTTCTCCCTCATGTGAGACTGATGCATCTTTAACAGAGTCTGTAGAAGAATTGGGCCTAGATAATCAAAGCAGCACTTTAGTACTTCATATTGTTAATTGTAAAACACGTGTAGAGAACCATTGGATGAGTAGGGTTCAATATGACAGATGAGTGTCTGAAAATTATGGCATTAGGATGTACTTCCTCCGTTCCTTTTTAATTGCAACAGTCAACATTTCACGTTTGCCAACGCACAAGTTTGACCATCAATATCTTTAATTCCTTATTAGTAAAAAAATTAAAAAATTCATATTTTGAAAATTTAGAATGAGAAGAATTTAACAATATTTTTTAAAAATTTAATTTATTATACATCAATTAATAAAATGTAGTCAAAGTAGAACATGTGAATAGTGCAAAAAGTCCAATGTTGCAACTAAAAGAGAACGGAGGTAGTACTACGTATCATCTGATGCCAAACTATATATAATATATACGGACATTCACATAGGTTCACATGAGAACGGTACTTCCTGTGCGAATTTGCGAAGATTGGTTCATCTTATTGCATATTTATGTTTTGAGTAGTTGACATTACATGGCGGCATTATTTTTTTTTATATTAGCAAATTTGTCACCATGTTTTCATGTGGTTCTATGTAGGGGAAAAATTTAAGGGCCTGTTTACTAACAGGGATATTTACAGGTTTCTACTTCTGTTTTCCACTCCAATTTTCTGTTTTCATTTTCAAGTTTTTCTATCTCCAGTTATCTATTTTCATTTTTTAGTTTTCCATTCTCAAATCTGAAAACATGTTCATCAAATTTTTCACCCGGTTCTGTGATTGTCCAGAAGACCGAAAGTGCGGTCTCATTCTGAAATCAAACCTAGTACAACCCAAGTAAGGTACCAGGTCCTACGTATAGGAAAGTCGGGACCAAAACCAGCCAGTACCGTTCGATCTCAACAGTTAGTTTGGCGAATTCTTTTCTCATTTCCCTATTGGTTGACAACTCAACTCTCTTTTAAAACTCTTCACTTTAAAAAATGAATTTTGAAAAAACCGAGACTGAACCGCCGGGTCATAATGGCCCGGACTGGGACTGCCTGGTCATGGATCGGACTGGACAAGGATCGTCGGGTCATCGATGAGACCGGACAGGGACCCATGCGTCATCGATTGGATCGGACAGGAACCGTCGGGTCGTGGACCGGACCGGAAAGGGGCCGCGAGGTCATGGACCGGACTTGATGGGGGATCGCCGGGTCGTGGACCGGACAGGGACCACTGGATCGTCGACCGGACCGGACAAGGATTGCTCGGTCGTCGACCGGACCGGACAAGGATTGCTCGGTCGTCGACCGAACCGGATAGGGACTACCGGGTCAATGACCGGACCGGACCGTCAGGTCGTTGACTAGACCAGGTAGGAACCGCAGGGTTGTTAACCTAACCGGACGGGGACCGCCGAGACGTTGACCTAACCGGACAGGTACCGTCGGATCAATGACCGAATCGGACCGCCGGGTCAATGACTGAACCGGACTGCCGAGTCGTTGACCGGACCAAATAGGGACCGTAGGGTAGTTGACTGGAATGGAACCTACACCGGAGCGGGACCGGAATGGAACCGACATCGGAGCGGGACCAGATCCACCACTAGGCGTAAATATGTAAACTCATTGCAACGACATTGTAACATCTGCGTTTTCCAAATTTGGAAAACTAGTAAAAGTCATTTCTCCTTTTCTGTCATTTTTAATGGAGCCAAAGACTCACTATTTTTTGGCTTGGGAATATGATGGAACAAAACAAAATGGCTCACTAAATTGTCTGCGCTCCTTTATCATGAAGCAGTAGTCAATGCATGCAATTTTCGACTCGAATTTCACTATGGGTCATCTGGAAACAGTCTATCGGTGCTTTAGTACTGGGGTAAGACTGCGTACATCCGACCCCCCTTACCCCATCGTAGATGGGAGCCTTTGCGGCACTAGGGTAATGATGATGATGAGTAAAAGTCACTTCTCCAATTCATTAAGGAAAAGAGAGACATGTCTCATTTTTTTCGTTTTGGGAAACGATTTGGTAAACGCATTTTTCTGTTTTCCTTTCTCCAGTTTTCCAGCAATTTTCTTTGGTAAACACGTTTTCTGTTTTCCGTTTACCAGTTTTCCAATTTTCTGGAAAACTGGAAAATATCTCTGTTAGTAAACAGGCCCTAAATTTTTCAAACTTTGAAAAGGTGTGAGGTAAGTACCCCAAACTTGCACATGTAATATACCCCATCTTTATATAAAAAGTTATGTTATCACCATGACCATATGTCTTTTTACAAATGTAATTTTATAGTTTTAAGTTCATCATTTAAAACACACAAATCAGTTATGAGAATGCAATTAAAATTAGATTGTAGAGGATTAATCTTATTAATTTCACAAAAGTTGACGTTTCCCGTTTCCCATTTCCTCATGATTTTGATTATAGGAGGTTTTCAAATGTTTTCTTGGGTAAACCTATATACTACGAAAATCTAGCTTCTTCTCATAAATAGTAAACCTAGCAAACAAGCTAAGGTGAATTTAAAATTAAACTTAGAAGAACCATTGCTAGTGAGGTCAGCAATAAAAATTGAATAGCAATTTTATACGTATTTTTCTTACGATCCCTCTATGAAATCATCAAGCATATGTGAGATATGCACCTTAGTTCTTTATTTGAATTTGTTTCAATCAATAAACAATATATTTTTGCAACTTTGATAACAGAGACACGCTACCTATTCATAGGAGATGAACGTTTGGGTGAATTCTGTAAACCTAGATACTACGAAAATCTAGCTTCTCATAAATAGTAAACCTAGCAAACAAGCTAAGGTGAATTTAAAATTAAACTTAGAAGAACCTTTGCTAGTGAGGTCAGCAATAAAAATTGAATAGCAATTTTATACGTATTTTTCTTACGATCCCTCTATGAAATCATCAAGCATATGTGAGATATGCACCTTAGTTCTTTATTTGAATTTGTTTCAATCAATAAACAATATATTTTTGCAACTTTGATAACAGAGACACGCTACCTATTCATAGGAGATGAACGTTTGGGTGAATTCTGTAAACCTAGATACTACGAAAATCTAGCTTCTCATAAATAGTAAACCTAGCAAACAAGCTAAGGTGAATTTAAAATTAAACTTAGAAGAACCTTTGCTAGTGAGGTCAGCAATAAAAATTGAATAGCAATTTTATACGTATTTTTCTTACGATCCCTCTATGAAATCATCAAGCATATGTGAGATATGCACCTTAGTTCTTTATTTGAATTTGTTTCAATCAATAAACAATATATTTTTGCAACTTTGATAACAGAGACACGCTACCTATTCATAGGAGATGAACGTTTGGGTGAATTTTCCGAATCAGGGTGCTGCCCGGAGACCTTATCTCGAGCTACTTTTAATATGTCCAGCTGCAAAAGAAAACAAAACAAATAGAGCATTTGTATAATCATATATGCAACGCAAATAACAATTTGAGAAGAAACAAAACAAAAGCAAATGCAAAGAATTTCACCTTTCGTTCAGCAATGAAGTTGTACAATGGGCTCTGATAAAAGGATGTGGAAGGCATCAATACATGAAGTAGAAAAAAGCTATTACAACATTATTAACATGATAAGAGGATCACAAAGTGAAGCAATAATACATATATAAAGTAGGAAGTCAAAGAACACACCTTGGGTGTGCTGTTAAAATCTCCACAAAGTACAACTGGAGCACCATTCCAAAGTTTTGAAAAATGATCAGCCTTATCAAGAAGCAGTCTCATCTATTTACAGCAAAAATAAGTTGATTACAAAAAATCATCAGTATGATGACAAGGCACTTTTTGCTTAATAATAATGCTACTATAAAACTTCAAATGAAAGCATCCAAGTATAGTGATCACATATATGGTGTCATGGTGTGTAAGGTGCAGAATAAAAAAGAAGGAATGAAAACTGAAATAGTTTTTATTTTGAATTAAGGTGCATTATGCTCCACATAAAAGACATGATAGAAGGTCCACATCTGTTAATTCAGAGAAGCGAACATACATAATATGTTTGTCTCACTGTTTGTATATGGGTACATAATAGAAAACAGACAAAAAAGCAGTCACAAGGATCCACAATAATGAAATGGCTATGAACTTTCCTCCAAAACCCAAGGAAAATGGCAGGGAAACGAAGGTTGTTGGGCAATAAAGTATGATATGATGCCATAATAGTTAATAAAGCTAGCATATGAAAAGAGAGAAATCTAAGAGCATGCATTTTAAAAAGGTAGTTTCTATGGTACCCATAAGGTACCATACCTTTGTCCACATGGACCAATGAAAAGGTAGTAATTCAATTATTTAAATCTTTAAAAATATATACATGCCTCCTCATCATACTTGGAACCAAACAGACACTACAGTAGAACGAGTGCTCTTTCTTTCAAAAGGTTGAATCCCCAACCCCAAGGGCCCCCACACCCCGACCAACATTTAATTTTTTTTTTGTACTTGAAGTGTTAAGTCATCTCACATCAGAAAATACAAACATACAAGACATTGTATTACTTATGCTATCAGGTTAGCTTTCTATCATGGATGTTAAGTCAACCTAATGGATCATTAATAACCCCCCTATGAGCCACCATCGCATTTTGAATCATAAATGGATCCTGGAGAATGAGAATATCTGCAAAGTCACATACAAGGAGAAGAGTCTTATTATTTATTGCCAATGTAGTTTTTCAAATCCAAACTGAGCGAGTTAGTTATGTTTTATTGCCAGTTCGCTCTCCAAACCAGGTCTCCTCCATGGAGAATCTTCTGCCGTTATGGATGACATCGTGCAGCCCTAGAAGTATTACTCCGTTACACAAGAAAGTTTTCTTAGGTGTAAGAATTACTTCACTTAAATGTAAAGAAATGTAAGTTCAGTTTGCTGTTCCTGAATTGCTGGTGCATATCATATTCTTAATTTTCAGTGCAGATTGCATAGGTCCCCCCATGTAAGTTTATTCCACATAAAAACAATCAAACCACAGGTTCTCAATGAGTTTTTTTCCCATGATGTACAGGGAGGACCTCTTGAAATCTGCTGGATCTCATTACAAAAAAGGTTTTCTATGCTGCACTTAACTTTTTATAGTAAATATACTCTATGTTTTAGTTGCTCCATAATCCTCTCATGCAAGCTTATCAATACTTTTTCCAATTACCATTTTTTCAACTACTATCATATAAAAAATTATAAACATCTTATCAATCCTTATAAACATTTTCCATTTGCACCTTATTTACCCTTCTTTTTCTACTTCTTCATGTCTGTTCTACATTTTAACTTCTTATGCACTATTCAACACCCCTACTGTTTTACTCTTAGATTTCATGAAAAGCCTATGAGAGCAGCTAAACGTGAATGCATGAAGAATATATCACCTCAATTAACTTCTTAGATTTCATAAACTTACTGCTGGGGGTAAGCCATATGTGCATGTGGAAAGTGAATTGTGGATCGAAAAGCACTATGAGACCTTCATCCTAAAGGTTTTCTTCTACCTTGGACGCTCTATACTTGTTTTCTTGAAGTTGACAAGTTGTAATTTCTGTGTACTGTAGGGCTATGTAACCAGTGGCGGACCCAGAAAAACAAAGTCACGGGGTCCCTATTATAACATTTTTTAATTAATTAATATAAATTTAATTAAACAAAGTTAAGTATTAAAGAAGCATAAAACTTTTCATAATTCGTACATCATCAAAACTTTAAGATAATGTAAAGCAAAAAAATAAAAAAAAGGGAAATCATGATCGCGACCTTGAAACTGCCCTTTTTTAAGGTAACAACGGCATACCTTGTATTGAAAATTAGGATGAAAACTAGCAATTTTTTCTCAATCTAGGATCAGCTTTACAAGATTCAAAATCAACATGTTGTTCGTGTAGATTATAAGCCAAATTAGTTTCACTTTCAGCCATTACTTGATGCAATTCTTCGTTTACTAATAATGAATCATTTGAATTAACATTTGAATGACTCTCGATACCTTGAATTTCTTTGAATCTGGGTATACTACTGATATATATTTTTATCCTAAAACATAAAATATTGAGAAAACATTCATAAATACATAAATGTAGTGATCTAATCTTAACGTCTAAAGAAATTTTAATAAGTAATCTAAAATGAATTATGCAAAGGTCAAAGAGTAAACAAAAAAAAAACTAGACGAGTGAGTCAGTGGAGTGTACTCGAGATGGTCTGAAACGGGAGAGGCACTAACGATGGATGCTATGGTCTGTTAATATACTACGTATAGAGTAGTAAAGTTTTCAAAATAGTAAAAATTGTTGAGGTAATCGAACCCAGTACCTCAACGTAAGGAACTAAGGAAGAGTGTTTCAGACACGCATGCTACCGCTCGACAACTCCGATCTTTCTTGTTCATTTGTAGCTTTTTATGTATATATAAACTTATGTTAAATAAATTTATGTCAAATATATGTAATATATATAGGTATTTTTGGAAGTCTACCCGGGACCCTTAGTGGGTCCGCCATTGGCTATGTTTTATACATTTCCCCTTGCAAACTAGAAAATAACAATACATGCTTATGTCTGTTTGGCATGCATAACTGAAGAACTATCCGGGAGCTGCAAAGTATGTTGCTAGGAGCTGAAAGTTGAAAGTTCTAATTGGTCTTAGGAGTGTTTGGTAAAAATGTATAAAATGACATTCCTTATACTGATTATAATTTATAAGATATAAGTGGACAAAGGGTGCTATTTCTCTTAAAGAATCATGTTATTAGTGGAAATAAATAAAAAAACTAGGGCACTATTTTAGAATTACGATATTGGATAGCTTTTTTAATAAAAACTTATTCTAGGCTCTTACATTATCTAGTAGAAAACAGGGCTGGGGTAGTTTATTTGGAGCTTAAAATAAGTTATAAACCCCAAAATAACTACACACTTGCTCTTTCAACTTACACTCCACACGTCTTGTGTTTTACTATTGCAGCTTCAGTCATCAGGATGGAAAACAGAACGCCTTTTATCTCCTTCAATCATTTGGAGAGCAAAATGGTTATTGGAGCCCTGTGACGATAAAGCCGACTAAGAATTTTCATGTCGGGCCTGAAAGTTTCCAGTTCCGTTAAACAAGATAAATGGCAGAGTAAATATTTTAGTTTTCAACTTCCTGACAAACACTCTTGCAACATTGAAGCTGGGAAAAGTGTGTTGTTGGCAATCTGCTATTTATTCTTATATACTTCGTAACTGCTTCTTGGTAGCCACTTCTTCACCTCACTTTCCACAATTACACATGAGGGTATAAAACAATCAAGAGAATGTGAAAGCTTTACCATACTGCATCTCTCCTCAAGGGAACTTTTGTTTTTGCTTAGATACATTTTGCCTATAACATTCTTGAATGCCCTCAAACATACTTGGAAGTTTTTATTGCCTTGATACTTCAAATTTTGTGAAACTATGACACATCAAAGCGAAGAAATCTTTAGGGATAAATATGATACTTGCAATTAACATTGAAGTCTAAACTATGAACATTAAAGGATAAATATATATATTACCGAGAATAGAAATATATCCGGTATTATATGATACGGGTGTGATGTCTTGATATTCAACGGGGTTTTCGTTAGCTGAATGTAAGCCGTAACGGGACTTACACGTAACGAAAACCACGCTCTCGCTGCCTTAACCGGAGTTGAGAATATATTAGCGACATCGTATTCATAATTATTGATAAAGAATTAATATTCAACTCTATTAAAGCATTTAAGTAATTCCCGAAACCTTAGCCGTTGTTATCATTCATCTTAAAACCGAATTAATTAAAGTTATTTCCTTGATTTAAAAGTGAAAAGTCAAAAATATAAAACACAACTCAAAATCACTGCACTTTACTCATTTTAATATTTAAAGTTATCTACTCTCGGACTAAATTAAACAACGTTTCCCTGTGGATTTGACCCGGTATTTTACCGGAATTTATTACTATATCGGCACTTATAACTGCTTATTGGTAGCCACGTCTTCACCTCACTTTCCACAATTACACACGAGGGTATAAAACAATCAAGAGATTGTGAAGGCTTTACCAGCTAATGAGCTGGCATAGAAGTTTCCCTGTAACAATTCTTTTTAGATTCATACTGCATCTCTCCTCAAGGGAATTTTACTTTTGCTTAGAGCTTTGCGTGAATGCACTACTGAAGAATAACATTGTTGAATGCCCTCAAACATACCTTGGAAATTTGTATGCCTTGATACTTCAAATTTTGTGAAACTATGACACATCGAAGCCAATTGAAACCTTTTTGATTTGCAATGTCTTAATACTTCAAATTTAGTGAAACTGTGAACCATTGAAGCGACAAAACCATTTATTCTAGAAATTGGCCAAATACCTGAAAATGACGTTCAACATAAACTCATAAAACGTCCCATATTCCTATGTGCCCACTAAACTAACTAAAGTAAGTCAATGATGACTTAAACTTTGGAAGGATTCCTCATTGGCTTTGATAGGGGTAGACATGAGCGAGTTCTGGTTCGATTTAAATCCCAAGGAGTGACTGGAATCCATGATGCATATTTGGTTCTGTTAGGTAGAACCGTAGAGCCAACCGGTTCAGGTTTGTTCCTATCCGATTTTGTATAAAGTAAAAATAGTAATGATTTTAAGCCAGTGGTACTGTTTTGGTTCCATTTTAGAACTACATTTTGACCCGGTAATACAACTCAAACATGAATGCAATCATGTGCATACATAAAGTTGAAACTTGAAACTTTGAAAGTGATGATAAGACTAATTACAACAAAGAACCACATTATGAACCCAAAAACTTGATCCTAAACACAATGTAGCCACATTGTTGTGCACGTGTTGCTGTCGGCGGTCACGTCTGTCCAAGCCCGTCACATCCGTCTTCCAGAGTCTTTCGCCTCCGCCTCGCTTGAGCTGTTGCGCCGTTGTATATCTTTAGGGTTGGTTCCAGCCTACTTCCAAAGCTGCGAGCTAGAAATAGATATGTAATACAAAAAAATTAAGAATTCATGATAGTTATCAACGTAATAACCACCACGCGTCTCAGTTAGTATTTAAAATAATTGTTTTATATACGCTTCAGATTTTATACAATAACCGGTGCATTTATTTCAAAAAAAAAATTAAAGAAAATAAAAATACCGTGTCAGATATTATTAAGGAATCACTAAGCGTGTGCCGTACTTTTTTTAATACAGTACAACTTTGAAATTATCGCTTTTGTTTTACTTGAAAGAAAATTATCACTTTTGTAGTACCACAAAATGATCTCATGTCCTCACATGGTCATGTTAACATGTCGTCCACTATACGGAGTATATAATATATACTCCCCACCTGTCCCAAAACAATAGTTACATTGCAGATTTTATAATTGGAACTATAAATTAAAGTTTATATATTCTTTTCACAATTCGGCAGATTCAGCCAGAACTTTATCAACTTACTCGAATACAACTGGTTTGAATGTTACCAAATACTATCATTATTTTGGACTAACATTATTCTAAAATTTTGGACTAACATTATTAAGTTATTTTTTGCATAATTTTTTTGGGACCAAAACTAGTAATTTTTTTGGTTCAGTCGAATACAAAGATGTTATTATCGTACTGTCTAAGATTTATTTATATAACAAAATTGTGCCAAATTAGTAAAATTTTGGAATAATAAAATAAAAAAGAGCCTTGATATTTTTTTTTTGATAAAGGAGCGCAAGAGTAGGAGCGTTTACCTGCAACATACACTCCGTCCGTATATTCGAACTTGCCAGGTTGGCAATCCGGCAAGTCTTCTTCCGCGCCATCATCTCCAGCCTTTGACCGTGACGTCATCAGTTCTTGCTTCTTCAATTCCTTCCTCTCAGAAACAAAAACCAGAGATCTGAAGAAAAATTTGACCGTTGTAATCGAATTTTCCAGTTGGCGAACCCGCTCCCTCTAATATAAACATATATATATTACCATTCGAACTTCAGATCCCCTATTCTCCTTTTTTGATTTGTCGCAGAAACAAAACCCAGAAAGACAGAGTCTGGTTCCTGCGGTAAACCCAATTCAATTCAATTCAATTTTGGTATGTGTTCTAATTCGACAATCTTGAATACCCGTTTTTCTTTCTTGAATTACAATAACCTTCTTCCTTGATGCAAAGTTCTTTTACGGCTGGATGGCGATCGATGACTAAACCTGAAAGCTCAGAACTGCTTGAGATGATCGATGACTGATGAGCAAGCAATAATGTCAGGTATAAGGTTTTAAAATATCTTCCTTTGTCTCGATCAGAAACAAACCCAGACTGCCGACAGAGTGTTCTTGTTCCTGCGGGTAAACCCCAATCATCTTGATCGAATATATACCCTGTTCTAGCTAATTTGAATAACAATTATCTTCTTTGTTGTTTCTTGATGCAGCGCTGCAAAGTAAAGGATGGGGATCGATGACTAAAACTGAAAGATCGAGTTGCTCCATAGCTTTCTTTCCTCAACACAATGCTTCCGATCCTTTGCAAACCTGGTAATTATTAAACCGATGACCAGTTTTCTATGGATTTTCTGACTACTATGCATCTGCAGTTTATATATACTTTCATTTATGAGTACCCATCTGTTTATTTTCAAATCATCACCCGGTCCTTGGTGAAATCTGTTCCTATATATGTTGTTTTAGCAAATTTTGTGCTAACTTAAACAATCAAATAAATGGAAAAGATGAATTGGGATACGTACGCACGTACAAGAATGAAGATAAATTAGCAAGAAGAATATGTATATATATATTTAGTATATGAGTATCCAAGTACAAGAATAAGAGATTCGTATATATGAATTATGTATGAATCTTAATAGTGGAAGGAAATAAAGAATTAATTGATGGATGCCAGGATCCTTTCTCCCAATACACCGCCACTTTTATACTTAGAGCTGCTATTGTGGTTCCAAATCTCTAGCCACTTCCTTCTCTCATGCCTGGAGTTTGTTATTTACTCCTATCACTCCACGTTTGCCCAAGTCAAAACTCCATATTCTTATCCATTTTGGTCCGGGTCATCTGGTTGCTTGCATCCTTTAATTATTCTTGATGTTTTAATGAATGAGTAAATCATGAACGGAATTACTGTTGAAGCAGATTGATTACTCCTTCAGCGGAGAATGGAGATATTCACTGTTTTTCATGTTATACAATCATATGCACCGCGTTTAACTCTGAAAATGACTAAAAAACTACTTCGTATATCATTTTGAGAGCCCCTTGATCTTCCATCCATCTTTTCTCTTTTTCCCAATCATCCGCTCAGTGCTAGTGGCTGTATCAGCAAAATAAGTGGAATCTTATATACTGAGCTTTCATTATTTTATGAACAGATAGAACAAATTCAATTATGGTGGAACAAGTCCTGCATGATGGAACAAGGACCAATTCCCCTATTTATTGTATTAATGATCCCAAAAATAATGGTTTTATTCCTTTTTTGAGGAAATAATTGTTTTTATTCTTAAAAAGCAGCATTTCTTTTAAGTTACTACTACGTAATTATTATTAGTACAACACTGCATCCCATGGATTTTATTAAACAAAACAATACTTTTCAAAACAGAGTTCAGTAGTCGTCAAACAATATGAATACAATATACTACGGAGTACTTGTGTATATTACAGTTGGATATTACCTGATTATATTACAGTTGGAATACAAGTAGTTAGTTAACATTCAAATAATCATCTTTCATTGCAATTGGATTACAAACTTGTGTATTAAAGAGCACACACCTCTAGCATCCTCACCAATGTAACCTTTTGTTTTCCATTTACATGCAGGCGATTTACCTAAATTAAAATCCAGTCGGCACTGCAACCAAGTTTAGGATGGGGATGACTAAAACTGAAAGATCGAGCAAGGAATGTCAGGTATTATATACCAAGAAATCAGGTATCTAATATACTCCTTTCACTAATAAGGGGATTAACAAGTCCGCCCTGCATGATGGAATCCGCTATTACTTGTTACTTGTAAATGACCGAGAGTAAATGGTAGGATCTTTAATGCCAGATAGGTCCACCAATTCTCAATTTTCATCTTTTCTTAACAGCCTATCCGTAATGTTATTATTCACCAACTTGAGTGCATTCATCATTTTCCTTCTTCCACCCACTTGACTCGAACATGACTTAGGTCACTTCTTGTTGCAAAATTGATGGTTCCAGTCAATCAAATATTTCCAATATCACTTATAAAACACAAAAATATAGATGAAATTAGAGAAGAAAACATTAAACTCACTAGGAAATTATGAACTCGAATTTTAATTATAAATCCAAAAAATTTAGAATATATAAAATTCATTATCAATGCTTTAAATAAATCTAAACGGATTAATAATATTAGTACTACAAATACATACAAGATTCGGATATAAGGATAACAATACCCATCTTTAAAACATACTATTTTTTAAG